AAAGTATGTAGCAACTATCAGCTCGGTAACTAACTGGTAACTGGTGGTAAGTAACTGGGCAATTTTCTAAATGTTTCAAACATTCATTTTGGAGGGTAACCACATGTACTTCAGTGATTTTTTTATAGTCCAGGTCCACGCTAGACATTTTATGATCAACTTAGTATTGAATAAATATTTCCTTAGGCATTTCTGGTCAAATTAGGATTAAATAAACATTTTTTTGGGAGAAAAGGTAATTATATTTCTCTAAACCTCACGCCATTACTTTATTGTCAACCTTGTAGGTTACAGAAAGAGGTTGACACTCCTCAGGTGAAGACCATTACATCACAATAAGAAATCCTTCAATGCTGAGAATAAAATCGAGAATAACCTTGACAGCTTCAGCCATGTCGAACAATCCAAGGTTTCCAGGCATTCGAGAATCTCCCGAGGAGAAGAAGCCTAAACATCCAATACGACTTGAGTTTTTAGCATCGCAGTAGTAAAAGTTGTGTTTTCCTACGAGAGGGTCCTCAAACTAAGAGGATGATAGTTTCTCTGAAAATATTACAGAATTCCAGGAATGTGGGAATGTGTACAGATGGCGTGCAAGGGTCTTTGTTCTTTCAGAGTGACCTTGGACGTGTCGAAATGGATGCTATGAAGGGAAACTTTTTCAAAACTTTGGTTTCGAGCCCTTGTTGCTCCTATCTTCTGCCTACGCAAGGTTACATCAGGGAATATTGCAAGGCTCCCTTCACTTTCGGAACAATTCAATGCTACGGAATCTTCACAGCCCTACTTTCCTTGGTACTGCCTATTTTGTGCCTATTATTTCTGTTAAAGTTATCTTATTCTGAGCCCTATTCTTCATCCACCGTCGTTGTAGCCGGCACCGCTTAGGCGTCACTTTCTAGCTTCCCATTCGGAACCCTAGACGAGCAAATGGGGTAACAGTTCGTCCCGTAAGCGAGTTCAGTGCGAGCTCTACATTCACTTCCAAATATCCACCCATAAAGCACACATCCCGATGGAAATTTGGTTCATGTAGCAAGAGATACAGTACATCTTCCACATATTTTTAGAGCTACACATTCGAATCTATTTCACAAGAAAATAGAAGAAGAAAATACCGTATACGCCCAAGCGATACTGTAGAGTGACCACGATTATGTCGTGCGGTATATAGATGTCCGCGAACCCTTTGTAACCATACAAGCTGGCTGAACCTATTTCGTAGCCGCCTCCATGAACCCATAGCAGAATTGGGTATCCACCAGCGGGTGCCTGTAGGAACAACAAACAAAATAAACTGGTAGAGATGTCTTGTAAGGTGCTGGCTATTTAGATGCGCAAGAGTGTTTACCTCCTTCTTTGGTCGAATTACATTAACTGTCAGACAGTCTTCATTGGGATTCGGCGTTAGGGCAGCTTTACGTGCGTGTGGATGACAGGTGGCACCGAATTGAGTCCCATTACGAACTCCTTTCCATGGCACGACGGGAACGGGTTTCTGAAAATGTTTCGTATCAATCGAAATCTACTGTCAAAGACACTGCCAATTACTACAAGTAAAATTCAGTAGCCTTTTCCGAGTGTGAAAATTTCAGTAGAGGAGGGGATTCATCGTTTGACGAAGCGTATTGGTCTTAAAAAACGGGCGGAGATGGTGTGGTAGCAAGTCACACACTATCTCACACGCATGGTCACGGTTTCGAATTCCGGAGCGGTATCCGCCTAGGTCAAAAAAGTCTTCCACCCCTCCGCGTCACTGATACCAAACTCAACCGGGGGGTAAAAGCACCGATTTGCACATCGGCTGACCAACGTAAGTCATTGTATAGGTTACATACGAATCAGTGCGCTACTACGATTCTAAATGGAAGCCGAATGCAGGGGCGCCTCTCTCAGATGGTCTGACTAACGCCCAAAGACGTTAACCTTTATCCTTCAATGGTCTAATCAACAGACTTGGGCGTTGGTGTTGTTATACGCTCATCATTAGTGTCCTTAGGAGAAGCAAGGCAGATAGTGTCACTCTCGATGCAGTTCTCTTAGAAGCGAGGTGTGGACGAGACTCTCGCTCTGCTCTTCATACATAGTTCTGAGTGAAGATGCTCACCTCAAATCTCAGTTCTCCTATGGGTGCAGCGGCGTATGGTATCCCAAGAAACACTTCGGCAACTTCACCGCCTTTCGTAGTATATTCGAAACCATGAACACTTCCAGGTTTCAATTCGAGAATCTGAGCGAAGGAGCAGGCTAGTGTGCTGGCGACCAGCAACAGAACGCCTAACATCTGAAATTGAGATTTCCTCAACGAATTTTCCTCGAGACCGAATGAAAACGAAAATTCAATCCATTAGAAACTATTATACAAGGAGATATTGAGGTTCAATAATCACATGAAAATACCATATTTGACCCAATTCCAGGCCGAATTCACTTGCAGAACAATTTACCTCCTCAACTATGAACTGACTACGACTTCATGGTTCAAAGAACCTGGCATCAAAGCTACTCAGGTCATGGTTTGCGCCCTTGTACATGTAGGCCACACGTATCCCTCATACCGCCTTCTATATACCTGCCAAGTGGAACCATTATAGCTTCAGAGCTGAATAATTGAGGAATTATCTCCAAACACCAGTGAGGCACAGCTAAACAAAGCAATCTTACCGAGCGTACCTCCTTTATTATTCGAGCCCACTAAAGACCGGTTTAATCAGTGTGATAAGCTGGTCAAGAAACTCTTCTCCTACTCTTTCGAAAAATATCTAGGAA